GGTTCACGTGAACCCACGGCACCCCCTCTAGATACGCCTCTGATGCTACGTCAATTCAGCAAAACGAGCTATATCAAAACCAAGGTAGAAACTTTGATGGACCATCTATGACTGATCAAAATTCAACAACTGAGAAAACAAACCTCTGAGCAGTGGTAAAGGGAAACTAGGATAAATCCCTGATAGGTGCAGCTGTTCTAGAGATGCGAGGCTACATGCTTGAAAATGAGGCAGAGCATCGCCATTTAAAGGGTTGAAACTTAGATCCAATTCCTTCAGGTTGCGCAATTTGCATAATGCTGCAAGTATAAGTTGTTAAAAAGTAATACTCCAACATGCAACTACGTGAAGAAAGGAGATCAGGGTCACCGGTGCAGAATCATTCCAAAAAAGCAGCAAATCTTAAAGCTCTAAGGATTCAAGGAAAGTAATAATAGTGTTAAACAGATATTAACAGCAGTAAGAGTTTGTACAGATTATACTACTGAATACTGAAGGAGATAAGTTGTTGCGCATGCAGGTTTGATCAAATGAAACGTGGATACAGGTAATGAAAGAACATTTTGATGCAAAGAATACCTTCTGGCATGATCCAGTTGCCAATAGCGTTGACAGATATATAAAGAGACTGGAGATGTGTGAAACGAGTCAACAAGTTTGCATCAGGATACCATATTCCAAGTCCAAGTTCCCTTTTACTGGTAAGAATAATATCAAGAACATGTGCATCATTATTTAGATCCCTGATGCAAAAAATACCAGCCCATGCACAATAATTTTCTTCAACCCATTCATTTATAAGCGTAGATCCATTGGGATAGTTAAGGGAGTCCTTCAGCTCCAAAAGAGCCCTCTTTTCCTCCTCTACTAATTTACCATTGCAATCCATGATATTCAAGCACATCAGTATCCAACATGTCCAAAGAAGCTGAAGCATAGGACACAAAACCCCAGCCATACTGCTGATAAATTTCTATTCAGCAATGAGTGACTAGCTAATGCCTGTTGTTACAAGAATTTTCACATACTCACTCAAAGTCATGAGTCAACACCAAATTAGAAATTTTAAGTTGCCTTAAGATCATAGACCACAGGTACTTCATCAGTAAATGAACATTAGCTGTTTCCCATGATGTAACATAATTTGTGTGAAAACCTTTTCATTAGACCTTTTTTTAAGATATACCAAGTCAAGCTTGACTTTGTCCAACAAATTCTGCCGCCTTGCTCAATCTTGATGGTGACTTCTAACATTTCCTATTAACTAAGACTTGGGCAGGCAAATCAAAAGAAATCATCTAGTGTTATTTTACCTCTGGTGAACATTCGAACGATTATCTCCCATAATTTTTTCCAGATTCATTAGCTACTAGATCACACCTTTTGGTCCAATTACCAATCCTATCATCTCAAACTCTAATACTGATCATGATCTTACAAAAAAAATGCCAACACTATATGCCTACAGGCTCAAATTTTTAAACTATATTTTATGTTCTTCATCATATAAGTTTCAAGGGTATGATGTGCGTACATCCTATCCTCACTAGACCCCACTTGTGAAATTACATTGAATATTTTGTTGTTGTTCATCATATAAATTATTGGTTTGCTCTGAATATTTGTGATACATCAACTCTGATGTTAATCATTGTTAAAATAAATAAAAAGATAAAACTATAAATTATCCAAATGTTTAATTTCAGTGTGAACAATAATTGCATTTATATAGAACTATGTAGTGAACAAAACAACAAAATGAAAACAAACAATTAGAGATCAAGACTCGGAATTCAAACGGTCAAGTGCTTCCCTAGCAGGAGCAAAATTGGGCTGAACCTTTTGAGCTTCCTGATAAGCCTTTTGTGCCTCCTCCTTCAAGCCTTTTTTCTCGTAACAATCGCCCAACAAGCAAAAGGCCTTGACATTATCGCCCTTCAACCTAACAGACTGAGTCAAATCCTCAATCACCGAGTCAACTTGTTCACGTCGACTCGCCGCTAGTCTCAACTGCGCCCGCTTAAACAACGCATCCGCTCTCTCCGGCTCCGACAACGACTTCACGGCTAGCGGCGAAAGCGCGACATCGATGGAATCAAGAGCCGATGTCTTAAACCCCTGTAAATCAAGAGCTAAAGCCTTGAGTATGTGAGCTGCAGCATCTTTCGGGTCTAAAGCTATAGCCAAATCGGCTTGTGCTTCAGCAGATTTAGCAAGAGAAATAGCGTTAGATCGATCCTTAACTGCTGCTGATTTAGCTTGAGAAAGAAGTTGAGCTCCTTGTACGAAGTGACGCTTCGATTGCATATCCCCCCGGTTTCGGAAACGAAGCTTCGAGAAGTATTTCTGGGGAACGTTGTACATGAAAAGGAACATGAAGATTGTTACGAGAATTAGGATTGCTTGAAGAAGAAGATCACGCCACATGTGGTTATCGGAGAAAAAATCCATGGCGATTTTCGTTTTCTGGGTTTTTCTGAGGATTTTTAGAATCGGTGCTTAAGCTTTAGCTTATATCGAAGTAAAAGTTTAGAGAAAATGACTTAAATGGTCCTAAACTATCATACTAGGTCTAAAATAGTCCATTAACTCACTTCATAAATATAGTCTTATTACTATCCACCCTATTATCAAGTTTGATTTCTATCCATTTTTTATATCTATCGTTAACAAACGTCGTCATTCATGCTCTCTCTCTTGATTTTCTTTTTCCCTCCTCTTTTCTTCATTGTGAGACGTTACAGTCAAGAAAACCCTAAAATCTAGATTCATGTCATCAGATTTGACCATTATTGAAAGCTCAAGACAATGATTCTACGACCAGAAGGTGGTACAACTCCTCCTTATGGTAAGTTTTCTAGAGTTCAAGTCTTTATTTGTGTGAGATTTTGTTGTACAAAAGAAAATATCAATTTTAAAAAAATAATATTACCGCTTACAGATTCTATACACGATGCCTTAAAAATCAGCATCAAAGTAACCCACGATGGTTTTATGAAGCACCAGCCTAAAAAACATTATTTTGGAGGTCGTGTCCAGTCCATTGACCTATATCACTTTTTATATCACTTTTATCAAGTTTGATCTATATCACTTTTTGAAAAGTGTTAACAAACACCGTTAACATACATTATAATTCAATCTGTCTTCTTCTTTTTTCCACCTCTTTTTCTCCATTATCTCATTGTTTCCTCACCTTTTGTTTTCAATTCTTCTCCATTGATTTTCTTTTTTGTCATTTCTTTTGTCCAAAGAGTGATATAGACCAAACTTGACAAAAGTGATATAGGTCAATGAACTAGACATGACCTCCAAAATAATATTTTTTAGGCAGATGCTTCATAAAACCATCGTGGGTTACTTTGATGTTGATTTTTAAGGCATCGTGTATAGAATCTCTAAGCGAAAATATTTTTTTAAAAAAATTGATATTTTCTTTTGTACAACAAAACCTCATACAAATAGAGACTTGAACTCTAGAAAACTTACCATAGGGAGGAGTTGTACCATCTTCTGGTCGTAGAATCATTGTCTTGAGCTTTCAATAATGGTCAAATCTGATGAAATGAATCTAGATTCTAGGGTTTTCTTGACTGTAGCATCTCACAATGAAGAAAAGAGGAGGGAAAAAGAAAATCAAGAAAGAGTGTACTGAATGACGACATTTGTTAACGGTGGGTATAAAAAGTGGATAGAAACCAAACTTGACAAAAGGGTGGATAGTTAAAGGACTATATTCGTCAAGTGTATAGTTAAGAGACTATTTTAGACCTACTGTGATAGTTTAGGGACCATTTATGTCATTTTCTCTAAAAGTTTACACCAAACTTGGATGGTTATTAATGTGTGACACAATTGTAAGGGTTTTGTCCTGATTTTCTTTCCTTATTTGAAGTTTTTTTTTTTTCCTTAAAGAAAAGTCAAAGTATTACCATAAATGCTTGAACTTTTTCTGAAAGGAAAATATAATTTTCTTCCATATTTGGTTTATTCTTTCCTTAGAGGAATAATTTGGAGATCTCTATTTTCATAGCATAACACAATAGAATCCACAATATAATCGCTTAGAGAGTTTTGTTTATGGGAGATTTTCTCTCTACAGTTTTTCTATGTTTTGATTAGTTTTTAATTATGTAGCCAATTGGTCATATCATATAATAATATTATGTCTTTTAGTATAGTTTTATGTGTCGTCTAATTTATCACCATATTATTTGCAATTATAAGCTTTCGCATGACACCCTAATCACCTTCATAACCCAACAACAATATAAGGATGGAGAACAACACAGTATATCTAAATATTATATTTCTTAAAACATTACAATATGATACAACACAATACAATCTGATACCTTACGAAACAATATATAATAATCATCTAGTATATATAATACAATATCATACATTATGAAATAATATATATCAACCATCCAAACATAAGGTTAATTACTCCAGTTTATTACTGATATATATTCACTAGCTATAAATACTTATTAGTGAAAATTCCGCCCCTTTCTTTCTACTGGTTCTTACATAAGCAATTTGCAGAAAGTAAACGAATTCTTTCCTTCCGAAATCCACTCCTGAAGTCACGTCTTTCAGTACTGGGACTGAAGTAAAGTACTTGCCAATTAGGGGGTACAAGAGATAGTTGGATCGTAAGACTTTCTCTCACATCCCACTCCCTTCCATGAGATAGTCAATTTTATCATCTTTGAAAAATCATATTGAGAAAAAGAAAGAAGCTGATCATTGAATTGATTTGGTTCACTTGATGTCCCGTATCAACTTATTGAGTCAATAAAATTCGAATTCACATAAATAGTTGTACTTCAAATTATTTTGTAAGCATTTGAACATAAACTTAAAATCATGATTCGAATAGAAAATGATTTTGAATTTATATTTGAATAAACGAGAAAAAAATTGAAGTAGTATCTTGTACTAAATATTCGCAAGTATCAACGGATTGTAAGCAATCCACAAGAACATAAAGATAGATAAACCATAAATAACTGACCTTTTCTATATTATTATTTCAGTAATCAGAATAATAAAAACTATTGCAAGAATACTTTCCCCGTATACTACATAATTATAGACTTCTACAAGGAATACTTCTCCAAAATACTACTACATAATTATAATTCCAGCCTCTTATTATTCCACATTTGCAAGGATAATTGGCTGACAAAGTTTAGAGTTGTTTCTTGCAAGAAATTAAGCAGCTTTAGAAATGCCTCATATCTATAACTGGAACTAACAGAGGCCTGTTTATCATTCAAAGTTGAAGAGAGCCAACATATTTGCAGTTGTTGGGCAACGTTTTCCGGATTTCGTCAGCATTACGTAAATTATGTATCTTTGAACTATGATGAATTTATTCTTCTCCAAGATAAGTGGAGAGTATCTTAACTCTTCATTGTTCCTCCCATCTGAATCAACTGTAGTGGAGACTTGAGTAGTTTCTTTAATGTATCCACAATGCTAGCGAAGGATGGGCGTTGTACCGGGTCACTGCGAGAAAACGTGAAACTATTAACTGATGGAAATAGAGCGCAGAGGTAGAGAATTCTTTGACATGATCTACAACACAAGTTGACTAGTAGAGATCGAGATGAAAAAATCAGGATGCAGATGCTTCTAGTAGTATTAACATGTTAACTTACTCATTCCAGCAGGCTTCCATGAGAGATGCCAACATTGGGGAAGTGTTCTGTGGAACAGTGAGCCTCCTGTTCTGGAAAGCTACAGCACCAACTACCTGAAAGCTCACAAATAACACGTCAAATACATCGTGTTTTTTAATATTTAAGTCCGGGAGAAATATGGGGTGTAGGGGGCAGCAGGGAAGAAGTAAACCTGCGCAGGGCTCAGTCCATTCCAAGGCTGTTGCATGGTAACAAGCTCCCATAAAATTACACCAAAGCTGTACACATCAGACTTCTCATTTGAGGGTTCTCCACGGAGAAATTCGGGGGCCATCCACTCAGGCTGAAACAAAAAGTAAGAGAGTTACAGGCTGATTGAAGGACGTACAAGAAATTCCACAACCTGCAAAATGTAAAGAGTTCGAAAAAGATGGCTTTGTACTGCCATGGGAGGTAGGTACACTGTTGACGACGGATACATTCATCGAGTAGAAAGGCGCAAAAATCAGAGTAATTGTATTTCACGGACTATTGAAAGCAATTAGAGCAATATTTCCTATTAATCAGGACAATAAGATTCTGAAAAATAAGGGCAATGCAAAAGGAAATATCAGAGGTAACACCTACTTGAGAAACCAAGAGACAAGAGCCTCTGTAAAATTCTTAACTATATCCATACTCTTCATATACTTTGCTAGCCGATTTTCACAGAAGAAACATGTTTTGTCCACATCAGAACTTCGACTAATAGATAATAAGACGTGGTTTTCAATATTAGAACCTGGCTAAAATGTAGATGTGATAGAAAGAAATGGTTGTAATCTAGAAGTTATCATGGCACAAAAATAAGAGCTGCCTGTATCAGAGGCCCTACAGTATTCAAATTTCATGTTTTTGCAATCCTAATGGCTAAAAGACTTGGCATCTAAGATAAGTAAATGGAGCCAAGCAGCTCATAATTCTCTAGTTGCTCGGACTCGGATGCTGGTAACCAATATGGGTGCAGATCTAGAGATCTGATCCTCCATGAAATAAATTTAAAGATTCAGGAGTATGGATACAGGTACAGGGTTTCAGCTAAAAATAATTCAATTTTCTAAAATATAGTTATAAAAATATACTTAAATCATGGAGGACTGTTTGGAAGGAAAGGAATGCACGAATATTTGAGAGCAAGTTTAAATATGTAATTATTATCAAGTACAAATGCATCTCTTTACTGTCTTTTTTGGTGTAACGTGACCATTGCAAATGATATAGAGGCCATGATAGACTTGTTGAGTTCATTGCACACTCAATGATGTTAGGCCTGTAAATATCTTTAGAGAACCTTCTGGTTACGGACTTTTTAGTACAAATATCTTTTAAATATAAAGAACACATGCCTAAATTGTATCCGTCTCGAATTTCTCAATTGATTTTGGTCTAAGTACCCAAAATCCATTGACCATATCATTATGGATACCAGACCCATGTAGTGTTGACACATGTGCGGCACCAAAAGTGAAGAGTTCGCACAAATTAGCTGCTAATCCTAAATGTCTATGGCAAGGTGAAGGATAAGCACCACCTCAGCCCAAGTATTTCCTTGCTCATTATTATTTGGCATAAGATACATATGCTACCTGTTCTTGCATATGAAAGATAGTTTGTCTGTGTTGGAAGGTACTTACAGTTCCAGCAACTGATTTTGATGATATGAACGTATTAGCTTTAAATCTTGAAAGACCAAAATCACACACCTGGAAGAAACATATCAGAATATCAAAAGTGCAAAATTCAACTTTAAACTCGAAGGTAAGTAGGCAACACTTTACCTTTACATTCCAATTTTTATCAACCAACAGGTTAGGAGATTTCAGATCCCAATGCACAATGGGTGGGCTCAGACAATGAAGATAGTTGATACCCTTGGCCTGTATTTCAAACGAATCAGAAAATTTTCTAGGTGAAAGCATCAAAAGTATGAAACTGTGAAATTGGCACAAACCACATCCAGAGCCATACGGATACGTCTCCTCTGGTCCAACAATTCCCCAGCAGCAGGCCTGTGTATCAGACGGTAGAGGCTTCCTCTATCATCATTATCAAGGCACAAAAACTTAGGCCCCTCAAGTACTTGAAGTTAGAAAGGAAGAATGTTATGCAGCCACTGAAACACAAGTTACCTGGGCAAATATTCAGTCACAATTGATAGATGAGGGCGTTTGGTAACAGCCCCCATGAACAACACCACATTTGGATGACGGACGCGTTTCATAATTGCAACCTTCAGAAAACATGAATACTGAGTTACCATCCAACGATAGATACCAATACAAGAATGTGAATAAAATGACCAAAATGACAATGGAACACAGGAGAAGTGAAAAACTACAGGATTACTCTATTCAATACAGGGAACCCTCTTTTCACAAAATCCATGAACTAGATTTCAGAATATCACAAGCATAGATATGAAATGCAATTCACAATAGATTGCAAAATGCCAAGACTAACTAGAACAACTACTAATGTCTCAATCCCAAGCTAGTTTGGTCAGATGCTGTGTAGTAGATTAAACTAAACAAAAAACAAATGCATTATTTCTTTCTGTAGTTCTGCCTTTTGAGCTTACCGTCGCCATACAGGGGAAACAAGAAAAAGAAGAAAAAGATCAGCTGTAGAAAGTAAGCTTATCTTTATCCGAAACCTATAACATTTTATTGTAGCTACTAGCTAGCATACATAGCATACAACAGTTAAACCAACAATCACATGCTCTCACCTCCCTTAAAAACTCCTTCAACTGATCATCATGAAAATCCTGGACGGTAAGCAGCTTGACTGCAACATCCTGCAGTAGTTAGTACCATACTTGATCAGTCCGGAAAAAAAGAAGGCACACTATTTCCGACGCTAGAAATAGTTTCCACAAAGCATCTTCTAAAAATGTATGGAACTTCAACTTCATGCATTTGTTGCCAATCCTTTTTCCCCTATTAATACATGCAAGTTAAGAGGAAATATCTAATCTAGAAACCACAAAGTAAGAGCAAATTGGCCTACCTTATGCGGGGAAGTTTAGTCAATAATGAGATACCACTAGCATCATCAAGCAATGATCTGAGCACTACAATTCTATTGACATGGAGTTACACAAATGTCTTACTTCAATGTGATTTACATAATTGCCTTAACAATTGACATGACATCACCCCTACAACTTTGATGTGTAATGCAGTCAATACAGGTACAAACATGCAAAATTATTATAATTTTTTTTTGGTTTGAACAGAATCTTCTAATCTTGTAAATTATCATGATTACTATTGCGACAACACAAATAAATAACACTCACCGATCCATTCCATTCAGCACGATGTACTGTTCCAAATGAACCTGCATGAAAGAAGAGTAGTACATCAAGATACACTGATGTCAAACAGGGTTCAATAACTGAGGATTAATTTACAGTCAGTAGATATATTGACAAAGACGCACCAGCGCCAACACGCTCTTTTATATGTAATTCGTCCCATGAGATCTCAAGCCAGTCCATAGCAAGAAAAGGCTCAAGATACAGATATCTTGGATTTGTTGTTGTCGGATGTTTCTCACGGTTCCCAGTTCTACCTCCAAGCTCCATTACATCCATTTTACCTATTAAAGTAGCTTTTGGCGGTCTGCCAGGTTGCAATGGTGAGTTTTTGGACAGAACAACCTCCTTCTTGTAAGTCTGCCTGATAATAATTTTGTCTTCTCTAGGTCTAGAATTCTCATCTCCTGCTGTTTCAGCCGCAACAAGAACTTCACATGGTTTAACTTCCAAAGCTTGATAAGGTTGGTAAAGTGGATCATTTGAAAATTTTGGCTTATCACTGACAACAATTTCCTCCACGTGTTTACTCTCAACATGGGGGTCTGCAAGAATAGAAATTGCAAATTTAGTCACTCTAATGGTGACAATGAAGATTCTGAATTTCAAAATTACCCAACTGCTGATTCTAACAATTAAGCAAATGCATAAAACAAGCTCTTTCTATGAAGTCCAGAAGAGAACTTCCACATAAGTCTTTTCCTGTGCTGCAAACTGGATACTTTGTAATAGAGATAAAACATATAATGTGATCCATATAAGAAGGCCAATTGTCTTATCATTTCTGTTATATATACAACTTCATGTTCAACCAGTGACATTCCTTTTCTTCTATCAATATGCACCAATTAAAAACTACACAGGGCTATGCAAATAATAGCACACCTGTATGCAAGGCATTTTCTGGAGCAGCAAATGTGTCATCTGAATGCAATAACTGATTACTTATGTTATTATCCATATAAGGCTGTTGAAACTCTGTCAAATGAGATACTTTAAGTGGTGAAGGCACAGGAGACAATACACCTCCATTGATAGAGGAATCTGGACCATGTACGTTTCCCGGATCCCCAACAAGATCAACCACAAATTCTCTGATAAGATAAACACTGTGTCAATAACAATGAACTAAAAATAAGCATCAAGCTCGCCAGTATTTAAACATGTATTAAATCTCCTGATCGTTGGACTTGGGCCTTTCAAAAATGTGTCATACCTGAAGATAATAATGCAAAATCAAAGCAGCAAAGGTCCACTACTTTAATCTTAGTAATACTCATGAAAGCACAATTAAAGGCTGAAAGAAATGTCAAGTATGAGGTAACCAATAATGAGGTCTCAAACATTATATCAGATTAAAATGTGGAGATACATTTGTAACATTTGAAACAAAAACCAAACCCGCTAAGGAGAAAATACTTGTTGATGGTAGAGGAGAAAACTACTTTGATTGAAGAGATAGTGGATAAGATGTTTTACCTTGACAATCTTCTGTCGTCCTCAATTATCACCAGACAAGAAGACCGGTGATCTGCGACACAATACTTGCAACCTCGAGCTATCCTACAAGGCAAACCTACATAATCCGCCAATTTCTGTATATCATAAAATCACCAGTTAAATTTCAGTCTTCAAAAACCTTCCTTTCAATAAAACTAATTACAAGAATGATGAATGAGAGAGCAAATCAGAACCCTATCTCACCCTGCCCACTAAACAATTACTACATGGAGAGAAGATAACATTTCAACAAGAATAAATGAGCCTTAAGTTCACATATTCCTTACTGGATATGATCCATTATGATTATTTCTTCACAAGCTACATTCACTGGTGATTTTTTTATGCGATACCTTTTAATTGTCTATGGTGAGTGCCAAGCAGAACCTTTTTTTTTTAAGTCGCTCAAAAGTTATGAAAACAACCTAGGTAAAACTGACAATCAATATGCCCCTTCATCAAACATCATACTGAGTTCATAATCAAGTACATAACTTCTCAAGTCCGATTGCAGCATTGAGGAAGCTAACAAACCATGGAGGTTTTGGGGGCAAAATAAATTGCTCAAAATGATTAAAGATCGATTGCATTACCAAAGATTATTTTTTTTCTTTTTAACAATCAGAGTTTATTTGTTTACACTCCTTCAGTACCATGCTGCTGCCTCCTCTTATCTTGGCACCTAAATCTGTTTCAGTTAATATCTAGAAGTTGTTTCCTTAATGTGGTAGCCACATTAGGTTTTCAAGAATATATAACACTGACAAATTCATCAAAAAGAGGCTATTGATCACTGTCTAATCACAAACTTGAAACACCCCCTTGTATGGCATAGTCAATATTGCACAGTAACTAGCTTCTATCCAGTCACTTAGCATAATTTGTTTGACCCTTAATCGGAAAATATTTCATCTTATCTGCAGTAAATTACTTCTCAGGTTTCGGACCGAAACACTAACTTATTTTTCTCCTACTATACAAGTCAATGTGCAGATAAAGTGGACCCATGAAAAGCACCAGGAGAAGGGGAGGGGAAGCAATTTTCTAGATAGATCTAATTGCAAAGAATGTGAAAAAGACAATGGAGACTTCGAACATATGAAAAAGAAGTCTCTCACTAACCTTGAACAGAATAGCTCTGTGCCTGCAAAGTCCTGACGAGAAACTGCCAATTGGTAGCACAATGCACTTCTGCAAATCTTGTAATCTCTTGCTAACAGCTTTCCACCGCTGATGAAGATCACCTTGCTCCACCGGAAAAGAGCCCCTTAAATTTCAAGTAATCCAATATCACACAGAAGAATATGCAGTCCAAAAGAGCATACTTTGAAGAAAATCAATTAACCTACCCCATATAGACAGCCACAAGCTTGCCAAGGTTTTCTGCCAAGACTAACGTATTCTCAGCAGCAAAGTAAATTTCTTGAGCTTTATCTTCTAATTCCCTGAGCCTTGAATCCCCACGCCTATCAATAAGAACAACCTCCATTGATGTCTCACTGGGTTCAATTCCTTTTAATGCCATTAGAGATGGTATTTGTTTACCATCCTCTGTGGCATTACACATAACCCACAAATATGGATTCATTCCTAATATGTTGTAAAACCCATCAGATATCTTATCAGCATAAGACAACGAACCACTCACCTGAAATTTTTCACAAACTTCACCGTCAGATAATTAAGAACCCACGGAATTAAATGACAAATACTTACAGCTAAACTAACAGGAAAGAGAATTATTCTCCCCCATAAGAATAACTACCAGACATGCTCTTCCGGTGAAATCTCAGTAGCTCAATTGGTTGGCAATTGGCTACCTGAATTTTAACCTAGCTGGTGAGGGTTCGAATCCCACCTTTTAATCCCCTTCCCCATTTCCCCTACTCCCAATTTCATCAGGAGAAGGAAAAACAAACAGGCATGCATTTCCCCCAGAACTATAGAGTGTGTGTGAGACAGTGAGAGAGAGGGGAAGAGGGAGGAAGAAGAGATACCCATAAACGATAAGATACAGTTTGAGCATCAGAAGATCCACCAAGGCCCTTGATACTTTTGCACTCCTGCAGAAGAATAGGCTCTCCAGAAGCAAGCATGGCTTGCTCTACAAGCCTTTTAGCGAGTGTGAGCTGCAAGTAATAGCTCTCCTTCGACTTCTGCATCAATGTATCCTCGCTATCAACTCTCGCCTCTGCATCCTTCACCACTACTTCCTCCTCCACTTCCCTTGTCGTCGACGTCTGCGTGTCTTTAACTCCCGTACTCGGCCAGTTCCCCTCAACCGTTGTTCCTGAAAACAAACTCCCTGCATAACTAGTACTTCCCCAACTCGACAGCCTTTGCAACGAAGTTTGTCTCTCGAATTGCTTTCCCACACAACTGTAATTGCTTCCACTACTCGACAACCTCTGCAATGACGCTTTCCGATCAAATGTCCCCTGCTGCTTCTGCTCCGGCGGTGCCACGTGGCAATCAACCTGCAGTTCATGTATCGGTACAGCTTCAGGAGGAACAGGTAGCAAAAGTTCATGTTCATCCTCTGTATCTCCATCATCCAATTTGATCTTCACGTGATTCTGTATTGATTTCCCTTTCTTATTTTTCTCAGTCAGCCAGTTGACAAAAGCAGCCAACTGCTTCCCGTGAATCTTATCACGGTTCCCGTACGAAAACGTAGCATCATTATTGTTATTAGTCTCTTTCACATCACTTATGAGCTGTTTCGATGTGGCATCGCTCTCCTTTGAAGAAGACTTTCGATCCTCAACGTCACTGATCTTCTTCTCCTTCTCGTGATCATTAACAAACTTTGCAGATGCATCCAACCCACGGTCAGGAAATTGCCTTGGAAAGAAGTAAGTCGTTCTATGCGGCATTTTTTCACAATCCTCACGTGAACAAAAATCTCACCCAACCAAAAACAAAAAAAGTTCCCACCCGCACGCTTCAATCACCTGCTTTCTCAACTACTTTCACCTTTATCAAACCCAAACTCCGATCCACCGTACAACCGCCGGAAAAAAACTTCCACTATTTTTCTCAGAAATCCGATCACCAACAATAACAATCAAAACACATTTTACTTAACCTGACTACAACTTTCACGTTATACTTACCTTTCAACCTCAACTGTGCTATGCCTGAGTATATAACTCAAAACCGAACGAATCCAGTTATTCTGCTTTCTGCTAGCTTGTTGAAACAAATTCACACAGATTCATATATCATATAGCACCATGTTCATATACATCAACAGAAAACTTATAGCATAAGTAATCAAAAAATTGATATGAATGCTCTTTTTCCTTGAAGATATCAATTTGCAATAGAGCAGAAGCTAGCTGACAAATAGCTTTAAGCAAATGGATTTTTTCGGCTTCTGCAGAGAGAGAGAGAAACGAAGCAGTTGTTTAAGGGGAAGTATATTTTAAGCGTAGAGTAAAAAGGACTAAAAATTGGGTGGGAAATTGGAAAAAAAAATATTAAATGTATAGAGAAGCTAATGTGCGCTGAGGGTATAATGCGCGCCATATTATAAAAATGAACACGTCAGAGTTAACGGGGGACATGCAGGTGACACGTAGAAAAAGTGACGGTGAGTGCGCACTGGTCACCCTTAGAGAGCAGTAAAGACGCGGGGTCTGTTAAGAGAATTAAAAAATGGTGGCAAAAAAATTTATTTATTTATGATTTGCGGAACCCAATGGGGCGTTATAGGTTGTAAGACTTATCCAATTTGTGATTGAAGCAACTAATTATTTTCATTTAAAATTTTAAATCATTAACCAACATAATAAAATATACTTCTCTCTGTTTCTTTTTTGTATACCTTTTTAAAAAACTTTAATTAGAAGTATACTTATTAAATTATTTTTTAATAATATTTGATTATTACTATTTAATATATTTTCTATATTACTTTATATGTTATTATTTGATCAAACACTAAATTTAAAAAATAAGGAATTGTCATTCGGGATGGCTCAGTTGGTTTGGAGGGTGGTTATCCACACGGATGACTCCGGATCGATCCCCCTCAATGCCTTCTGAGTCAAGTCTGTCGCATAGGGTTTGCCTAGTGCAATTTACATCCCCTGGGGGTTTACCCAGTGCTCACTCAAAGGGCAGAAGTTATAGCGGCTACGGGTTATATCCTGGGGTTCCAAATAAAAAAAATAAGGAAATACTTTATTTTATTTACTAAATTAAACTTATTTAATAATTATTAAATAAAAAATATGTCTTTTTAGAACAGGATAAAAAGTAAAGACAAACACAAAAATTGAGATATTAAAAATATATTAAGTATTTTTTTAGAAAATCAAGATAATATGTCGTTGATATCACCTTTATCACAGTTTCTATCATTCGAGTAAGCACTATGGATAAGTATTTTGTATCATTATATGCATTAGGTAAACCTCTTATTATGTAATACTCTACAAACTATCAGGAGATGTAAATCATATTATGCAAGCCCTATGTAATAAGCTCGACTCAATAATGATAGAAAAAGAATTTATTCAAATTATCTATTTAAATGACCATCCTTTAAACTAACTGAGTCATACTTTTTTTTTAAAAAAAATACTACATATTCAAACGTATTTTGGAGTGATATTTTAAAAAGTTGGAACAATATAAAATAATTAGTAATACAATTTTACATATTAATGGATTCCTATTGGTTTTAGTTTCGGCTGGAAATGCATGTGACAAGTGCAGGGGAACATTAGGTTGTTACGGTTCGGTGATTTAACAATTGTATTTTTATTATTTAATTATATATGTTTCAATCTCAAAGATCATTTATGTAAATTTATTAATTTATTTTATTTAAAAAATTATCTTATTTTAATATTGTACTGCCGAAAATATAACTAAAAACACTATGATGTTTTTTTATATTGTTTAGTGAGATTAAAAACATGCGTAGAAAGCATAAATATATTTAACACATTAATACTCCTTTAAATTATATTTAGATACTTGAATTACAATTTATTTCAATCAAGTATTTATTTATATAATGGATATATATTTGAGAAGACTCATAAAATAAACTTAAAATTTAAATCGAAAATACCTAATTTTTAGGGAAAATAATTATGTGTTTGTATATATTTAATTTTTAAAAATTATAGTTTAAATATATCAATGAAATTTATAGACAAGTTTGACTGATTATCAATGTATTAAGTCTACATATTTTTAACTAATTAAATTAAAGGATAAACTCTGTTTGGATTAGTGAGTTTATGAATTAGAAACTTATATAGTAGAATATTGAATTTAATATTTCTTGGATTTGAAAAATAATATATACCCCCTTCATATTTTGAAAAGAAATAATTATTTAATTTAAATTAATGGATAAAAAAAAAATTATCAATATATTTTTATAATATCAAAATTATCCTTCGCGCTATAATTATGACATATTCTTTTTAGTAACTACAAATTTGAGTAATGGTATTAACTAAAATCCATACGTGTCTTTTTTGTTTCTTCTGGTTTTCAAATCTGGCCATTAGACTTCATGGAATATTTCTTTTATTTTAGAGCATAGATTTTAAAAATATCTTAATACACTTCATTATCTATATTATTAATAGTATTAATTCTAATTTTTTTCTACAACTACTATTTTTTTGTAAAGTTCTATTTTCATGTTATATTTACATATATTCAAAGTCTAATTATTTATCCTAAATTTAAGGATTTCAAGTTAAGTAAGATTAACATTTAGAGTTATATGACGTGGACGTTCAATGTTGTTATACATGAGGTAGAAGTGAAGGTGATAATCGATATACCTATCCTATTGATTGAAGAGGGAAAGTCTCAAGTATCTTGAATTTATAATGTATGAAAACATAGAGATAAATGGATATTGTTGCACATCGTTTTGTTACGAAGTGGATGAAATAAAGGTTCGTATTTGAGGAACTATGTTATAAGAATATGTCACAAAGAATTAAATATAAATTTTACAGAGTGGTTAATTTTTCGACTTATTTTAATTTATGAAGTGGAATGTTGGTCAATCAAAAATGCACACGTTTATAGAAGATGAAAGTAACGGAAATGAAATTGCGCAGATTAGGTGTGACACTTTAGCTTAGGATGAAAGTCTCACATCAACAAAAATACAATGTAAGTAGATTTTATATCTTAACGACATGTTTTAAAGTTGTGTGAATCTAGGTCCGGCGCGAAAAATATCACTAACAAATTAGACCATTATAAAAGGTATCCGAGTCACTCATGTGCCAACCTTCTTGATGGTGGATTAGCGTTCAACTAAGTTTAATTAGGCAAATTCCGAGAAGGCTAAACAAACCTAGTGCAAAGTCTAGACAAATCTCATGTAGTAGCGCTGCTAGGAACAAACCTAGTGCAAAGTCTAGGCAAATCTCATGTAGTAGGGCTGCTAGGATATTGAAATCATAAGAGGGGGTGTATATGACACTCTGATAAACTTAGGATAAGAATGTGAGAAATGTTGGGTATAGAACAAATCTTACATCATAGTGATGTGTTTTAAAGTCATATGGATTTAGGTCGATAGCGGACAATATTACTAGTGTGTTGGGTTGTTACACTATGAGGGTTAGAATTAAGAAGGGAGTTACATAAGACATGGTGAAAGGACCTTCATGACAGATAAGATGAGGAAAATGAGGCTGAAATAATTTAGACATATAAAAGAAAAATCGCAACACACAAATAAAAAGATATATATAAATGGCTCGGATATCATTTGTATCGTATATGGTATTCTTAACACTTAAGTAATTAAGCCTAAAATTATCACTACCATATATGGAGGAAAAAAAATCTTATTTGTATCTTTCTTGCAAAAAGAAAATCTATGTTTTTGAAGTAACAAAATAGTGTTTAAAATAGAATTGAAGTTTTATAAATATATTTTATTTTTCTTTATAGAGAAAAAAAGAAGGTGAATTAGAAGTGATATTAATTATTACGTACTGTTATTCTGCCTAAATTTTCTTTCAAGTAAAAATATTGACCTACACGTAATTGGCTTTGCCGGCTTTTCATAATTTTATTTACACTTTAAAAGACATCAAATAATTAAAAGAGAAAATTTATGATGAAAATAAACGTGAGAATTTTAAATTCGAAATGTCATTAGGGGTAAACTTATTTTTGAGTTTTTGATCAACTATGGTAGAATGATAAATCTAATTATTTCTTCAATTTTTAATCATGAATTAATTTTTTAATGAAGATTATAGGTAAATATACAAGATTATATGTTAGCAATTTGTGTTTAAAAAACCAGAATTACTGATTTCAATAAACTTTGCAGAAACACGAAGTAACCAAAGTTTAATAAACCAGTAAGAATAGATGAACAGAAATTAATTGACAAAACTAAAATCTGTAAAAAACGTACCACAATCCTTTGAAAAACAAAATCAAAAAAAGATCAGGCCCACTGAATGCACAATGTCCCCTTAAGGAAATTATTCTCCTCTAGTATCCGAGGTTTGATTTGGAATATGTCCTCCTAGGATAGAATGATTTCAATCACCAGTGTATTGATACCTAAAACTCTAGTGTCAGCGAACCACTCAACAACAGTGAAGTACACGAATAAATTTTGTGCAGAAGAAATTAGAAAAAATCGTAAGGAATAAGTCTAAGGAATCAATGTATTTATAGGCAAGGGGAACTGGTTTCGAAAGGTTGCAATCCTTTCAGAATCCACACGACCATTCATGAAAGTTTGCAACCTTTCAAATGGTCATGACTATTTCTGAAAGTTGCAACCTTTCTAAACAGTCACTTCCAACGGCGGGAAATTCAAATAAAACAGGTCGCGCGTGGATCTGAGTCGGGCGGGGTCAACTAACTAATTAATTGAAAGACTTCGATTAATTAACTAATTAAAAC